CAAGGGTGGATTGATTGCAGAAATTTACTCAATTTTTGGCACAACTCAAGGAGGGAAAGATTTCTAGATCGGATACTCAAATAGTATCAGTTTGAAGGGGTAAATTAACCGTAATGATTTTGAAAAGGTAACGATTATTTCAAAAAAACAAATACTTACTTTTTTCTTCACTTAAAGGCAAGTAAATAATTTTCGATGTCTATATTTCCCGTGTGGGCCGTAATCTTATTTATTCTTAAGAGTTGGTTGCAGACATTGGGGATACCATTTTGATTTTTCGCCCTTTAAGAAAGGATAATGGATTAGCTGATGCCAAAGAATCTAAAATATATAATTATCTCATACCAAGGTAGGTTTGTCTCTACATTTTCGGCCCAATCTCCAATTGCGTGACCATCTCGAAAAACGAATAATATGTTCAGATTTCCATAATTAGTTGCACCGTTTGCAAGGAGGTTTGCAATTATAGACGCTTGGGTCTGTGTTGCGATACCATTACGGCAATTTAGAACAGCAGTGTCATTAAAACCTGCATTATTCCAATCAAATAAAAGTGCTGGCATTTCGTCGGTTTCTTTTTCCTTGAAATATTTCAGAACAAGAGTGACAATATCTGGATTTTGAAGAACCGTAGGGAGGTTTTCGGGAGCTAATGTAGAAATACCAGTTAATATTTAAAAAAATCAACATATATGAAAATAATCTAAATGCTACCAACCTATACCACACTTTTTCGCAAGGTCACGAACTTTCTTTTCTTGCACTATATATTTTCGATTATGAGTGTGAAAACAGTCATAAAACTTTATTAAAACAGAATAAATACCCTTATCGTGAATAAACTTGAAAGGATTTAAACACATGTTTAGAGGACACGGTAAAAAATCATAATACTGTATTTATTGATCAATTTTTCAATCAGTATAACGGCGTACAATCCAAAGAATGTGACCCGAGGTCACAACGTCACGTGACGTGTGGCACAGTAAATATATGACTTTTGATGTTCGCTTTTATCTTGGTGCTGAGAAAAATGGTTATGGAAGTCGAGATGACATTTGCAGAATCATACGTCAATATACAGATGATCCAAAAAAAGCATCCAAGATCATCGATAAACATTTGCGGGATCGAATACCGCTTTAAAATTGGATTAGTAGAATAAGCTTCTGATAATCAAATAATTATTTTTTCGGTTATTTATTAATACAACAATATAAGTACATCCTACTCG